CCCCCCCCCCCGCCGGTCATCACTTTTAATGAAAAATCGGGAAGTTCACCAAAAAGTAAGTGACTGTCTGCCAAGTTTTTGTGAAGTGTCTGGCAAAAGAAAAAAAACTTTAGCCCCCACCACTCTCAAAAACAATCGAGAGCCTTGTCTCTGTGTCTCTATACATGTATATAAAGCTCTGATACTATTCACTAAATTGATTCTATAAAGTATTTCTCTTTGATAAATTCTTTTCGTTTAGAACAACGTCGAATCTATAAAAATCTTATTTCAATGCTTCAACAAGACTCTTCCGAAGATCTTGATTTTTTGGCACTCATGTATGGTGTTCCTGATCCAACAACATCTCTATTATCTGTAATGAATCACACAGATAATGATCATTATGAAACCATCTCTATTCAAACAACTAGTCCAAAAACAAAAAAGCCTCAAAAATACGAAACTGATAACCCCACAACAATAGAATAAAAAGGAAGTGACTCGGCAACTGAAGATAATGATATTGAAGACAACGTGTACATAGCAGATACGACTGCATCATCAGCAAGAAACGAATAATTACGTAACAGTAATCGAAAAGCGGAATCATATGAGACTCAAGAAAAATACATGAAATATAGACTAGTTGTATATGAAATAACATATCTTGAGATTTATGTAATATAATAAAGCGAAAAGTTGTTAATGTAGACATATTATTTCAGACATAATTATAATTGTATTAACTAGAATATTATTGTTGAATGATATTTATTTTGTTTGGTTAATGAAAGGAATTATTATTGTTATTATCATTATCTAATTATATTGTTTTAGATTTTGTTGTTTTTTGTAGCATCGTTTTTAGGTTGCCAATCATTATTTACAGACTCAAAAATTCTCTTTATTTGCTGTTTTTCAATACATACATAATGAAATAAATAAATCAATAAACAAAAAAATATCTAAATTGACAAATTTTCAGTATCTGATGTAAATTAAGTTTTTTTTATGAGCAGAACTCTTGTTTGTCTGCAACTATTTTCTTTCTCTTGCAACACTTGCTGATTCATTGTTGATCAATGGATGTTAATAAAACTCAAAGATTAAGATTGTTTGAAAGAATTACCAATCAGATCAAATCTCTGTTAGTTAGAGATAGTAATGTTCTTATTTATGACGAAAGTATAAGTCCGATTCATGCAGCTATTACAGAGAAATTGAAATTAAATTCTATCACAACTCTAAAGAATTATTAAAGCATAGGGAAAGTTTCCAATAAAGTATTTCGTTTATAATTCAAAGATTTAAGATTTCAATCTATTTGGAGCATAACTGGATAATTGATTATAGATTGAATGAGAAGTCATTTTTGAACCTGAAGATTTTTATCTTCATCAGATATACACCTCTTATTTCATCTTCATAAGAATCTAATGTCTCATATACACTTAGTATCAGTTCAATATTCATTATCTTTCCTAGAATCGTCTACAACACACTGAAGATCATGAAAATAGTTTTTTTTATGATAATAAAAATTCTTAAGTTATTTTATTATGAACAAATCATATAAATACGTTTAGTATAAAATAAAAAATTTAATTTCTTCAAAAAAAATCATGTATTTTTCTATTTATCTTTCATTCTATTATTCACTATGAGACGAACACATATATACAAATAAATATAGACACAAAAGTATGCCATTTTAATGGCTAGATACAACAAACATAATGTTTTCGATTTAGATTAAGAATACAAAACAAAAAACAAAAATAAATGCTAAGTATTAATCATTGGTGGTATTTGATCAAGAGTTGTATTATGCGATGATAATAGTGAAGAAGGTGTGAGAATAATATTCGAGAGAGAAGTAGAATTTGAAGAATCGTTTGTCTTGAAAATATTAACAACATTACTAGATGATTTAGATAAAAGCAATGGAAGTGGACAAAATGGAGTTTTGGTTATATATGGCGAAAAATTTGTTTTTGGAATACGTTTGACATGCTGTTGATTCCTATTACAGATATAAATCAAAAAAATAAATAAATATTTATTAATATCTAATCTCAGTAGGTCAATTTAACATCTCGCTATGGATCCGTTCAATCTGAGATCCGACATTAAACCAAGTCTTTCTTGAATTGAAAACTTATTAGGACTAATACCGAATAAGAGACCAACGAGGAAACATACGCAATTGTAGGACATCGTTGGATAAATTCTGTTGCTATACAATCTTGAGCGGATTGAAAAGCCAGTCTTTCTTAGAACCTCAAGTGACCAAAGTCATTTTTTGAAATAGAATATGAGAAAATGATTAAGTCAGTTCGTACGATGTACATAACCATTGAATGAATATGACTATGCCTTGTGTATCAGACGAAAGTTCTATTTTAAAAGCTGTAGATCTCAACTTCTTCGAATGAAGAAGTCGAGAAGAAACTAAACACCCTCCTGTTTTCGTATGCCTATACTCATGGTCAAAACTTACGCTCGATTGGCATCTAATCGTTGCGTATGTTTCCTCGTTAATCTCTCATTAGAAATTCACTTAAAACTTGCAGTTCAATGATTATTTCACTTACGCGATTTTAGTTATTGTTGTTGTAATTGGACATACTTGTGCTTCATTTACTGCACATTGAATATCACGAGTAAGTCGATCAAAATTAACATGTACGTTTTTAACAATATTTTTTAATGAAGATGTTTCAATCGATAATGAATTTGTTGATTGAACTAAATTTATATTTGAATGAATACTTAAACTATTATCATCTTTTATTCCACTATTACTATAATTATCATCAGGATACGATAATGAATTTTCATCAGTACAATTTAATAGTGTTGTTTCATTATTAATTTTCATATTCATAGCTTTAAGTCGACTACGTCGTTTAACATCATTCCATCGACGTAAAATTCTTAATGTTTGTTTCGTATTTGTTATAAAAGATTTAGGTTGTTGAGAATTTTCATCTGAATTAATATAAACAAGTGGTGACTCAAGTTTTTCACTTAAGTCCATTGTATCATTTAAATCATATGAATTTTCACATAACTTTAAAAAAAAACATAGAAAAAGTTATATATTTTTTAAGCCAAAAAAAACAAAACTAAATAACATACACGTGTTGTTAATGATTTTGTTTGTTGATGATTTTTAATTGATGATCGATCACGACGATGAAGTAAACGTGTAATTTTTTTTGGTAATTGTAAATTAAAATTTTCTATTTGTGAATCATTATGATCAATATATTCATCATCATTTGTATCTGAATTTTGATTAAATTCATCATCATTATTATCGTCAAGTAATTGTTTCATATTAAAACGAATACGTCGATGACGACCACGTTGACTTATTGTATATTTATTATCATCAAAATAAGATGATGATAAATTACTATTATCATTTATTTGACTTGTTAATAATAATGATTCTTCATTATGTATTAAATTTTCTAAATCTTCATATTCATCTTCTGATGCTGTTAGACTTTCATCACTACTATATATTTTCGTTTTAATTTTTCGTTGAAAAGATTTTTTTGATTGACGTATTTTTTGTTTAATTTCATTTTTATTTAAATTAATTAATAATTCTTTGAATTTTTCAATTAAACAATTTGATAATTTTTTATGTTCACATAATGGACAAAACCAATCATTATTAGGTATAGATAAAAGTATAGGATGTAAACATTCTAAATGATAACCATCATTACAATCATTACATAATAATAAAATTTTTGATCGATCATTTTTTAAACATATACAACATGATGTTATAATGGTTGATGTTTGTGCTGTTTTAGTTGTACATAATGGTTCATGATTTTCTTCTTGTTCAAGTTCAAAAAAATTATTATCCATATCTATTTGTGATTGATTTGGAAGATAATCATCTGAATTATATTCATCTTCGGATAGATAATCAATATGTTCATCTGAACTTGATGTTGATGAATAAAAATAATCTTCTATTTTTCGTCGAGATGTTGTCTTACGTCGACGACGAGTTTTTGAAATCTTTGTTTTACTATTTATTGAACGTTTCTTTTTTTTTGCATCAGGAAACTAAAATTCAAAGGTGAATGAGAAATGTCACGGAACTTGAAATCGAGTTATTGGATTTATCCAGTTGTTGCTGGATTCAAGATCTGGAATTATTAACTTAGAATATTTTTTTCTTATACTTTCTTTCAGTACAATACGCTGATACTTGTATAGCATATATACAAGACATCTAAATCTATGTTGTGCTAGAATTTATACATTCTATCTCTAATAGTTATAGAAATGTAAGTATTCGAATCGATGATTCCGGCAGGTTCTCGCCAGGAAAACACCGTTCAGTGAAAAGTAGTACTTCGAACAAGATTTACCAATCAAATTTCTTTAAACATAACAAGAAAAACAGTGTTCGTCACCATTTTGCTGCAGTACACATTTTCTATTCTGACACGACTCGATTTTCTAATTCTGATTCGTTTTCAAAATTTTTCTTTTATCGCATCTCAAACTATCTCGATTGGTCAAATATCAGCAACTTTACCATGTATTTACTCGTCAAATAAAGATTTCATAGCATTCATCATAACTGTTATTCGATGTTTAATGTTATGAGAAACTAATCAAATAGTTAGAATTTTCTGCATCGAGCACCTACTCAGGTTAAGAAATATATACTATAAAAACATATGAGAAAAAAATATTATGTGAGCATGATCTATTTCTATTATGAATTAAACTGTAGAATATGCTACTAATATGAATAACTAATTTTTTTATACCTGTGAAATAGTTTTAGAAGTCACAACAGAAGTTGATGTTTTTCGAAGTCGTGATGATCGACGTATTGAATGGCAAACATCATCTATGGATGATTCTTCTTGTGGAATTTGATGATCATCATTATGATTTTCTTCAATAGGAAAACTTCGTTTTCTACTTCGACGAGTTGATGTTTTAACTGCTTGTTTTATTTCTGTATCAATTTTATTGTTTGATAATTTTTTTGAAGGTTTCGATCGTCCACGTTTTGTTTTTATTGAAACATTAGAATTATCATCATCATCATCATTTGAAATTGTGTTCATTTCTTCTTCTTGTTCGTTAAGATTAACTGCATTGGCAGTATAATATTGTTCAAAATCATTTGATGGTTGTAAACAAGCATATTGTTCATAATCAATTATCCAATCTGTATAATAAAATCATCGATAGAGAATTTCAATTTCTAATTTTTCTTACCAGGAAATCTCTTTCGTACAAGCGAATCCGTAATCAATATTTTAATAAAATTTTCTAATTCATCTCGATTTCTATCAAAACAAATGTAAATAATTTTTTTCCTTAATTGTAATCGTTTTTTTTACTCACTTAGCAATATTAGTCCATGTTCGATCAATATCAATATCTTCACGAAATAATCGTACAAAACAATCTTTATCCTATGATAATTCAATATAGATCTTCATTATTATATTTATAAAAATATACACACCATAAAAAACCAATACGAAACACCAAAACGATCACGACCTAATGGTGAAGATTTTATTTCACATGCTGATTTATCAATTAAGGAATTTTTTAAGATTTGATTTAAATCAAATTGACTTTCAAGTAAATTCTAGAAATAAGATTTATATAAATTTTGACTAATCAAATCCAGTCTTGAGAGGCGTATCAACGACCGTATAAAATCTTGTGTTATTTTATTATGAACAGATCAGTATTACGATCCTATACGGTTTCCGTGTACGAAGAGAGTAGAAGAGCAATTATTTTCTTGTTGCTCTGCTAATCATCATATTTCTCCGAATATGACACGAAGATATACGGTCGTAATAATGAGTTATGTATATGGTAGTTGACGATTAATGCCTGTTTATTGAGAGGTTTATTTACTTTTATAATTCGAATTTTTAAACTTATATCTGCGTGTAAATAACCAGTTGTTTTTAAATATTCACTATCGTTTATATCAAATCGAGAAGCAAACTATTAATAAGCGAATAAAAGTCAAAAAATGAAGAAACAAAAAAAAAAGAATTCAATTTACTTTAGTAATAATTGAATCGAATTTGTTATGTTGAGCATTTTTTGCTAAAGATAATCGTTTGAGTAGAGTAAAATGAAAGTCAATAAGACGTGGTGAAACTTAATTTAATACAAAATAGTTATTCTAGATAAATTATTAAAAAGAAATAAAATTACTTGGTTCTTGATAATTGACAAGATGATCTTCAAAACATTGTAATGGATAATTAGGTAAATTAAGTACACTTCGAAATTGATCCAGAAAACAAAGAACTATTCCATAATTTGGATCGTTTAATAAATTTTTTCGACGTTGATCTTTTTCATTATCATCTTCATTTAAATAGCAGCATTCAGTTGAATGATTCGCAATAGTCATTTTTTAAGACGTTCGCCACAGTTACTATCATACGAATGATTGAATATAAAATAATATATTTATTATGTACAATCATATGTAGTTTTTATATATTATTACAGAATAAATTTCTTCCTATTTCTTCATCTATCAAGTCACATGCGAGTCCAATAGGTTTCATATTGCATCATCTTTATTAAAAATGAATGAATCATGATTTATGTCAAAAATAAAAAGAATGAATGACGACTGGAAACTTTGAAACGATAGATGTCACTGTAAATATAAATTGCAATCTTTTAATCTACAGATTATTATTTAATTATAATACTCATGAATACATGTCGTAAACGCAACCACGTATAATATGTATACGACTATTATAAATAACATCATACCGTCATTTATGACTTTGTTTATCATCATATTCAAACAAGTTTATCTTCAGGAGGAACGATATGATATTGATATTTATAATTTCTTTCCCTTCTCTGGGTCACTGATAAATACAACAAAAATAAGTGATGTCATAAATGAATCCATGTCTATCATTATGGCGATTGTGAATGGACCATAAATCACCCACTTGGTGCAACATACATGTATGGTCTCGTATAATAATGAAATAAAGCCATACTAATAAATAAAACAAAATCGCTTTACCTTAAAACCTATGAATTTAAACGTATACACCACGACAATATCCCATGACAGTACTCATATATGGATAGCTTTAGGATTCTATCCATATATAGATACCTATATGATATTGGCTTATATTTGCATGCTTATAGCTATGAACATATGTCTTTACTGTGAACTTTAAACATCTATTTCTATTTTTTGTTAACCATACCCTTCTGTCTATATTATTTTACTTCTATCCTAATAACTATGTCCGTAACAGTTTGTCATACTGAGAACAAATAGAATTATTCGACCGTAAAAGCTGGTATAAGATATCATTGATTTTTTCGAAAAACAGTTTATTATTATAATTCTACGATGGTCTACAATGTGAAGCTCCTATAAACTCTTAGAGTTTCTAATAATGACAATTTCTATCTTAGTCTATCACATTTCAGAGAGCTGTGCAAATACAAATTCAAAATGAGCTATGGTACAAATACTGTCCCTATAAATTGAGAGTTAATATTCATATTTCATGTAATCTAATAAAAATATATGTTCATGCATTCTCTACTTATAAATACAAAATCCATGTAGACAAAAGCTGCTTTTCGTGCCTTGTACTATCAGTTACTTTTATCACTCTGTATACAGAGTGTGAATGTATAAGTGAACAGAAGACTACTATTCATATTCACACCTAAATAGATATGGTGATAAGAGTACCGAGTACAATTTGTAAAATTCTAAATCCTAAGATTCAATGCATAAGGAATGAAACTGCAAATGTTATTTGTTTTTGCACAGTCCTAATCGAATGAAAAAGTAAAAAAATAAAATATGCCCGATGATCATACTGATATAGAATAATAATAAACATTATTTGCACAAAGTTTTCCAACACTATTTCATGAATATCGTTTTTGCAGATGATATGCATCGCAACGTCTTGATAGGAACAACGATTCACAAGAAAGTAAAATATCCACTTCGAACAAGGAGTATTTTTTTTAAAACTCTCGACTTTGTTTTTCACATCATTTTTTTTTATAAGAGTGAAAATTTGAATAGACTAACAGGTACTTAATCGTCTGAACAAGAATTTCCATATTAATTAAGATCACTGATCAATTTGTGCGAACTTGCGTGCCTTCTAGTGTTATTTGAAAATGAAAGTATTCGATATCAATAAGTAAAATATGTTATGCTCTACATTTCTACCGTATTCTATATTAAATCTATTTTCTAATATGTGTCGAAAATTCTGCGTCAATATTTCACTTCATATCTTCATAGAAGTTAATTAGTCTTTTGTTTTATTAAGTTAAATATCATGTTTTTCATGCGTCCCTTATTCTCTTTTATCAACTTTATAAATGAAGCAAACCTTAAGAGTAAATACTAGTTAGAAAGGTTCCGATTCATCACTAAATTTGGATTATTTGACCAATATTTAAAGAAATCAAAAGGCTATCTGTTTTATACTGATAGGTAAGGAAATAAACATATATTAGTTACTTGATAAATCTCTTGTTCGCTATTATAGTATGTTTTTTTTTCTGCTTCTCGTGACATTCACGTGATCAATGCTGACGTATTTAGAGTTTATTACTGTCAGATAAAATATATACTTGTATCAGGAAACTCATACGTCTTAACTTGTCTTCTATTCTTTTTTTTTCTTTCTCTTCTATTATTAATGCTATTTAATAATCGTTGTATGAAGATGACAAGAGAAATTTACTTTGATCATCTGGCACTGTCTCACTCACACACTACTACTTAATAATAATAGTAGAAAATAAAATATAAAAAAAACGATGAAGGACATAAAATTAACAGGGAATATATTCATCTATCCCACCTAAGTACGACATCACACTAAAGCTATAAGTAGGTCTCGATAAGACTGAGAAAATCTTAAAGCGATTCATGCTTATGGTCTACTATTGAAGATTATGACCGTTTCAAACAAATTTTTACTCAAAACAAAGAATTTCGAATTGAAATAATGTCCGTACGTATGTTTGAGAGCCATTAGATTGTGCTACGGGTTTCAACATAAACGGACATGTCTTTCGCGAGATATTCAACTTTCAAATAGACTTGATTACTGTGCCATTCTAGAGTAAGTCTCTGTATTTTTAAATATTAAATATCTCGGGAAAAACGTGTTCGTTTTCGTTAAAACTTCCAGGATAATTTAATGAATCTCAAATATACTTATAGACATAGTTTCAACTCGAAACTCTTTGTTTTAACTTTTTTGAAAATGCCGTACCTTCTGTAAAACCTTCATTGCAAGCTCATAAAACATCGAGAATAGATTCTGGACTCAAGTCGCTCTAAAATTTTCTTAGTCTTATCGGGAACTGTTTCTAGCCTTTATACAAAATCGAACGTTATCCAACCGTTAAATATTTCCCTCGTATTCTATGCATGGTTTAAATAGTACATGATATTTTACAACAGTAAAGACTGAAGAAGGCCGTGTAGCCCGCTAAAGCGTCACTGAATAAAAAAAAGAAAAGATTTGTTATGACACTAACAATCCATCATGACTTTTTTTATCACAAATGAAGGATTGAGATATTTATTTATTAATTTTGTGCCTTGACAATAAAGAACGTTTGTTCATTCATATTCCTTTAGGTAGAATCAAAAGCGGGGAGCACTCAGTGTATTGTTATCAAGTTATCGAACTTTAATGATGCTACGTACAATGATATTTTTGGCTTCATGTGTTCTGAAAGGATAGTCATTGTATTATTCTGATCATCGCCAATCGTTCTAACCTACATTTGATTGTTTATATGCTTATATGATGGTTGGTGAAAAACAAGATATTGTACCTTATATTCGTAATTATCATTTAACTCCTTATTGTCGAAGACCAGATTATGGTCAAAAAGAAAAAGATATAGTAAATATCGAAGATGAAACTCAAAGAAAACCAATAACATTTAACGAATTAAAGAAACAAAATGTCACTAGTGAACAATTACTTCGTTGATCGGCATCTATTGATCTTGCAGAAAACTATGAAATCAATAGTACAACTGCAAAAGTTTTTTACAATTGTTCACCACCATAGTTTGGTTCTATGTGTCAATATAAATTTCTTTATGATTTATTATCATCATGTGGTGATATTGTTGATGCAACTTTCAAAAATCGCTCAGAAATTAACATCAACATTACTGATGAAACATGTTATCGATTTATAGATAATTGTAATCATGACGTATGGCCTCTATGTCTTGATTGGCGTGAAATATGTGATGGAAAAACTGATTGTACAAATGCAGAAGATGAGCAGTGGTGTGAACAGTTAGAAATGACAAAATGTGCTGATGATGAATATCGATATCATTATGATGATCAATGCATTCCTCGAACATTTGATAGAGATAATCCGTACAGCATCGATTGTTTAGATGGTATTGACGAGGAAGAACAGTATTCAACTTATACTAAAATGTTCGACGACTTCAACTTTTATAAGTGAAGAACGTATTGGTCGATATCCTCGTAGTTTCCAATGTGGTGATATTCAATACTATTTTGAAGGCACATTACCAAATCATACAGGAGCTTGTAACAGTCGACGAGACAGAGAAATATCTCGAATCTTACTCACTTCTGTGAATCACATATCACAAGCGAATTGTCAACAAGCATTCTATTGTGCACTTCATTACAAACGAAATTATGGTACAGTATACAAGAAAACAAAATATAAATGTCAAGTAGTTTAATGAACTGCAGAAATAGGTTTGTGACTATGCACTAGGTGTACTTTGATTAGTTAAAAACAACTATAGACTTGATTGATAATTTTAGCTGATAAAATTCTAATCATTGAACACTTTCTTATCTTTCGATTAGATGTTTTCTATCGATTTTCACAGACGCTCCCTCAAGTCCTGGCATAACTCATCACAGATATAGGAGATAAAAGATTTATATCTCTAATATATACAGCACAGCCTAATTTACGACAAATACATTAATATATGCATAATCGATATCAAGCAACACGTAGATACAAATGATATTAGAGATATGAAAGACATTACCGTAATTGTGATAATATTATTTTCATTATTTGTTGAATATCATATCAAGATGTAACGAAATGTTTGATGTTCACATTCTTGTTCATGTTCAATGTGATAAAGTATCTATACTGAAGGTAACATGTAAACTATCTTTTTCCGTTGAATCGTTTTCGAAAAAACTAGCTCTTGTTATAATTTAATATAGAGAAACAATACTTCCACGAGGAAGCTGCGGGTGCTTCCAGACCCAGATCCGATCGGTCGGGTCCGAGTCCATAATTTTATTTTTTCTGGGTCCGAATTCAACGTTTTATTTTTTGTCAGGCCGCG